GCTCAAATGCATGGCAAAAAGCAACTTAAGGGATGAAAGATTTGTTTTAGCTCACAGGTTGGGGATGCAGTTCATCCTGTGAGCTGGAGGCTGTTTGCTCACATCTCATGGATCAGGGAACAAAAAAAGGGAATGGCAGCATTCTGTTGGCTTCTTTCTCCCTTCTTTCTGGACCCTAGCCATAGACAGTGCCACTCCCGTTCAGGGTGGGTCTTCCCTTCTCAGTTAAACATCTCTGAAGTCACCCTTATAATCACAGTCAAGAGATGTACCTCACTAATGGTCTAGACTAGAAATTATTTACTCTAGTAAAGTTAACAATATTAGCCACACATTATCTGCATAAATCTGATTATAGACTCTCTCTGCTATTGATTAACCTTTTGTCCCTAAACAACTATTATACTCCCTACATTATTTCGTTTCCTAGTAAATATTGATATTTAATAAAGCAAAAATCTTCCAAGATTTTTTTTTGCCCAAGTCGTCTTCTTACTTTATGTCTATTTTTATTTGAGACAGGCTCTCACTATGTGTCCCTGGTTGACCTGAAATTTACTATATAGACCAGGCTGGCCTCAAACTCACAGAAATCCACTTGCCTCTAACTCTCAAGTGTTGGAATTAAAGATGTGTGCAACCATGCCCAGCCTTCTTTAGATATTCTTTTTTATATATATTTTAAATACACTTCCAAATTCATTTGTTACATTTTATAAGGTTTGGGGAATTAAAGTGACTATATAAATCAGTTTGAATTAATTGATGCTTATGAAGTTGAGTCTTCTTAGCTATAAATTTGGTATGTCCTTTTATTTTAAATCAATTCTTGCATTTTTGTCTAAGTGTTATGATTTTTAAAAGAACTGTATTAAGCCTACAGCACCCAGTATTATTCCCAGGCAGTTTGCCATCCAAGTACTAACCAAGCCCAACCCTCCTTAGCTTCTGACATCCGACAAGATGTTCAGGGTGGTATGGCTGTAGATGTGTTAGGATTTTTATATAAAGCCTTTTGTTGTATGAGATATGCCCCCTTCATATCTTGTGGATTTGTGTGCTATCATAGGTGGAATTTTTTATTCTCATGGTATTAGGTATTAAATCCAAAACCTCATGCATGCCTTACTACCTGGCTATTACGCCAACTCAAGGGATATTTCCCCTTAGTATATTTTTATCCATTTTTAGATATATAAAAATGAAATGGATTTTTAATGATAGTATAACCACTCACTCTATTAACTATATGGTTGTTGCAGCTATTGTTGTTACAGTTTTTGGAGAAAGTATTACTGTACGGTCCAGGTTGACCTGGAATTTGCTATAAAACCCAAGCTGACCTCAAACTGGGATCCATTTGCCTTCTTCCCTCCCCAGTACTGGAATTTCCAGGTATATGTCACTGTATTCTACATGTCTACACTTTACATTTTGTAGTAATTCAAGTTGCACAGAAAAGTTAGTAAAGTTAGTAAGCAGAGCATGCCTGCAGGAACTTCCTATACCTTACTGTGGTATGTTTTTCATAACTAAGAAAGCAACATCAATATATCCCTGTTACCTAGATAAAAGACTTTTACAAGAATTTTTCAGTTTTCCTATTATCGTCCAGTTCAAAATACTACCTTATATTTAGTTATTGTATCTCTGCAGTGTTCTCTGGCCTAAGACAGTTCCTCTATTGGTCCCTTATTTTTCAATGATTTTTATTTTTTGAAATTAAACTACATCATTCCCCCTTCTCTTTCCTCCTTCTAACCCCTCCCATGTTTCTCCCACCATTGCTCCCTCTCAAGTTAGTAGCCTCCTTTTCTTTGTTATCATTTTACACACACACACACACACACACACACACACACACACATGCCTAAATACATGAATACAACTTGCCCAGTTTATTTAGCATTACTTGTATGTATATGATTTCAAGGCTAACCGATTGGTATTGGCTAACCAATGAGGCGGCTCATCCCTGGGGAAGACTATATTCTCCAGCTCTCAGCATTTCTTAGTCACTGTAGTTGTAAAGGAATGGGGCCCTGTATGATTTTCCCCTTCCGTGCTAACATGGCTGTTGGTGTTGTACTTGTTTAGGTCTTATTTAGGCAGCCATGTTAGTGAGACTTTGTGGGTGAAGCTTCCATATGACTTCTAAGTGACACGATCTCACAGCAGGTTTCCTGCCCCTTTGGCTCTTAGAATCTTTCTGTCATGGTGTTCCCTGAACCCATGATGCACAAGTTGTGTTGTAGATGTATCTATTGGGGCTGGGCACTCCATGATCAGTTTTGTTTGTTTGTTTGTTTGTTTTCATTTTGTATTTTGACCACTTGTGGTCTGCATTGCTCTCCATGTATAGAAAAGAGAAGTTTCTTTGATGAGGTGTGAGAGCTAAAATTATCTGTGGGTAAAAGGCTAAGTATTTAGAATGAGGTTAGGAATTGTGCTGGTTTAGTAAAGTCATGGTAGGAGATTTTCTTGTAAGATCCATGGCCTCACTGACTCCAGAAACTGGGGTAAGTTTTCAGTATCAGGCATGATTTCCCTCTATTGAGTGAGTCTTAAGTCCAATTAGACAGCCATTGGTTACCACCAAGATCGTGAGTGCCCCTGTGGCACCGTTAGGGCTATCTTGTCATGCTGACAGTGTTGTGGGTCATATACCCAGCACCTGGATAGGACTATTGATTGCTTCCCTCCTTTGGAAGCTTGCATGGCACTTTGCAGTCCGAAAGGAAGCTAGTCATTAGGAAGGAGGCCTTCAGGTCAAATCCAGCTCAGATCACAAAGACCCTATGCCCAAACAAAGCATAGGTGTCTTTAGCAATAGCAACTTAACTTCAACCTCTGGGAGATAGCCAAGGGCAACGGCAATAGCCTACATTGTTTGCAAGGTCTCTTGGATAACTCTGATCTGTTACTCCTTATTTCTTATGACATTAACAGTTTTGAGTACTATAGAATGCTCCTCAATTTAGACTTTTGTCATAGATTGAGATTCTTTTTAGGAAGAATTCCACAGAATTTAAATGTTCTTCTCATCCCACATATCAAGGAGTACATGGTATCTACACAGCATCCCTGGTGATGTGAGCTATAATCCCTTGGCTAAGGTAGTGTTTGCTGTGGTTCTGCATGGGAAACTTGCTGATTCTTTTCACTTTTAATATTCTGTTCTTTGGAGGAATCTATTCAAGGAGAGTAGGAACAATTGAGCTCCAGCCCCTAGAAGAGAGTATATCTATGTATGTGTCTCTTGGAATTCTTCTGTAATGATGTATGTCTTATCTTTTATTATTTTGTCACTTATTTATATACATATGAGCTTATGCATATTTGCTTAATAATTTGAGTTGTAAATCCAATTCTTTGTTCTTTGGTTTGTTGCTCAAATTTTTTCATCTTTGCCCCCTGGCAACACTTTCAGATTGGCTCCTCTGTCCCTTTGTCATGCTCTCATTCTTACTGACTATTTATACTTATAAATGTATCAGTGTGCATATATACCGCAAGTGTAGAGGCCAGAATATAGGGTGCTGGATCTCCTGGAACTGGAGTCACAGGCTGTTATCAGCCACCTTATATGGGTGCTGGGATTTGAATTTGAGTCCTTTGCAAAAACAGTAAGCACTCTGAACCACTGAACCATCTCTCCAGACCCCCATTCTTGGTTTTTAAGGGCTTCTTTGCTCTGGTACTACAAAATACTCCAGAGTTGTCTTGTTATTTTCTAAGGCAGTCCTTGATCCAGCTGTTTCTCCAAAAACACCTAGTTCCCTTTAAGATGTCTTCTCTTGTGTTTTCTATATTGACAATCTTGTCAACTATAAATAATGAAAGGCTTTTTTCCTTTTAAATTTTTGTGCCTTTAATATATTTTTCTTGTTTTAATGAGATGTCCAGGACATCTAGTATAATTTTGAATAGAAAGGTTATAGAGGCCATTCCTCAATTGTGTATTTTCGAGGAAACAACATTAAGTTTTCTTTATTTAGAACAGTATTTCTCATCTGATTTCTACAGGTTTCATCAGGTTAAGCAAATTTCATCCTCTTTCTCTATATACTAAGAAGATTTATTGTTTTAAACCATGAAAGGGTATTGGACTTTTTTTTATCAAATGCCTTTTCTGTTTCATAGAATGAATATATTTTGTCTCCAATAGTCTGATAATGTAGCACAATTAAATTTATAGACTTTTCTCATGCTAGAACAATTTTGCATTTTTTAAAAAGATTTATACATGGGGGTTGGAGCGATGGGTCAGTGGTTAAGAGCACTGTTGCTCTTTCAGAGGATTCAGGTTCAATTCCCAGCAGCCACGTGGTGACTCACAACCACCTTTGACTCTAGTTTCAGACCTTCAGCTCCCTTTTCTGGCCTCTCCAGGCCCTAAGCATGCACGTGGTGCATATACATGCAACACAATAGTGAACATAAAAAAATAATTAAAGATATATGTATGTCTGTATGTGCACCATGTGCATGCTTAGTGCCTAAAGAGACCAGAAGAGGGTGTTTCTTGGATCCTCTAGAACTGGAGTTATGGTTTTAGCTGTCATGCAGGTACTGGGAATGGAACCCAGGTCCTCTGCACGAGCAGCAAATATTCTTAACAGCTAAGTCATCTCTGCAGCTCCCCTTTTCAGTGTTTTAAATGAGAAATTTGAAAAGTGCTTTCACAACATGCTTTCATGTGACACGGTATTTGAAATGGGTATGCACAAATCCTAAGCAAGACTTTGTAATAATGTGTCTAGCAGGTTCTTAATAGTCACTCACCAACAACAGAAACTTGTAATATGAGTTGGTGATAAAATACCTAAAACCAGTTCTTAAATTGTTCAAAGATGTTTAATAGCTAAAATAATGCAAGTTTTTCTTTTGTTTCACTGACAAATATATTGTTGAATTTCCATGATGTGAGTAGATTTCAAATCCATTTTATCTCTTTTTCATTAACTATTACAAAATAATGATGAAGCTCTTATTTGCAGAACATCCACCATTGTTAGATCCATCACCCTGCATCTATCTTGGACATCATTAAAAGGGCTCATCAGGAGTATCTGATATTCAGGAAGACAGAGTTTCAGGGTTTCTGCCTGGAGAGCTACACCCTCCAGAAGCCCCTGCTTGGCTTCCCAGCACCCAACCCCATCCCAACCAGTTACGACTTGGGCTGTGATTGGTGTTTCTTGGAAACTGGAACACGGACTCCTCTTACTGCGCTCCACGCCCTTTTTCCTCAGTGAGCAGAAGACCATAGAAGCTGGCTACTGAAGAGGCTGTCCAGATGGCAGCGCACCTCACCGGCCTTGCTTAGCACCTTTACCACAGAACAGTCAGTCGCTGAGTGCTGAATCTGTGCCCAGCACCCGCAGCCACTGCAGAGATTCGTCAGGCCCCACGTCACTAAGGGCCACTCTAGAGATCCCTCCAGAGAAGGCTAGCTCTTCATAGGCTCCACACTGCCTGGAGTCCTACACCTCTAGGGCTGCAGAGATCAGTATCTCTCCACCTATCTCTAATCCACATCCCAACTGGAAAACATTGTGGACTATTTTTGGTTTTATTTTTATCCTTTTGGCGAGAAGGGTTTTAAATATCACTTCAGCCCCTTTAGTAGTTATAGTACTACTGATAATTTATTTTTGTCTCTTGTGGATGTAGTTTTAGATATAGTTTCTTAGGAATTGGTCCAGTTTGTCTGTGTGTTTAAATTCTCTGGCCTAAAGTTCCATTTTGAAATTCTCTGCTACATATAATCTGTAGCTATGTCGCCTTTTTCATTGCTAATACTGGTTATTTGTGCCTTCTCCCTTTTTTTCTTGATTAATCTCACCAGAGGTTTGTCTATTTTATTAGTCTTTACAAAGAACCAACTTTTGGCTTTGTTGCTCCTCTCTATTGTGTCTTTGTTCTCTATTTCTTTAATTTCTGCTCTTATCTTTTTTGACCTCCTTCCTTCCACATTTTTTGGGTTTATTCTGCTGTTGTTTTTCTGACTTCTTAAATTAAGTACCGAGCTCATTCATTTTTCTTTTTCCATTTGCTTGCTTTCGATGTTCATGTTTCTTTGAGACAGGATCACACTCTATAGCCTAAGCTAACCTCAAATTCATGATAATCTCTTCCCTAGCCTCCCCAGTGCAGGGATTGCAGGCATGAGGCACTGAGCTTAGCTTTCAGCCTTTCTTGTTTTCTAATTTATATATTTAAAAGCTACAAATTTCCTGCTAATGCTACTTTCTTACATAATGATATATTGTAGTAATTTTATTACTGTTCAGTTCCAAGAGCTTCAGCATATCTATTATCATTGCTTATTTGACTCATGAATTATACAGAAGTATATTTAAGTTCCCAGATGTTTGGGGGATTTTTAAGTTTGTTCTACTGTAGAAATCTATCTTAATTATGTTCAGATGATGTGGTTTATGTGATAACTGAAATTTATTGAGATTTGTTCTATTGCTTAGTACATGATTGATAATTATCAATGTTTCCTATGTGCTCTATAAGAATGTGTGTTCTCTAATTGAATATACAGATCTACATGTGTCTATTAGCAACGATCTTATTCAAGTTGTATTTATGTAAACTGATTGCTTTTGTTATGAACTACCAGTAATTTTAAAATGAACTCTGACACTGGAGTTATCTGTTTTCTTCTTATAGTTTCCTTTTTTAACATAAATTAAGAATTGTTATATTTCTGGTAAATGTGTAATATCCTCTCTATTCATGATAATAGAGGAATTCTGCTAGATTATCTTGTATTGATGTAACAGCACAAGCTTTTCTTCTTGTTAGGGTTTGTGTGGCATAATTTTCTATCTTTTTACTTTTAAGAATTTTTTACACCTTTGTGTTTTAATTTATATTTCTTGAAAACAGCATATGGCTGGACATTTTTTAAAACTCTAACCTAAGGCTGGGCATGGTGGTGCACACCTTTAATCCCAGCACTTGGGAGGCTGAGGCAGGTGGATCTCTGTGCATTTGAGGCCAGCCTGGTCTACATAGTGAGTTTCAGGCCAGCCAGGGCTATACAGTGAGACCCTGTCTCGAAAAAAAGCTTAACTAATGACCTCTGCCTTTAAAAGTTGGCAAGTTTAGTTTACATTTGCTGCAGGATGTTTGGACATGTTTCTAGTATCACTTTGTTATTTTGGTTTTCCACTACTTTTTGTATGTTCAATTTTCTCTTTTCTCACGTTTTTTAGTTCCTTCTAGTTTTTTAGTTCCTTCTAGGATGTGTTTTTCTATTCTTTGATTTCCTTGAAATTCTAGCATGTGTGTTTAACTTGCAAAGCTTAAACAATATTTTCAGTGTATCTTGAAGAGTGTGAGAAGCTTAGAAATTAGCAATTTTAGTCATTCCTCTCCTGACCATTTGATTTTGTTTGCAACTATGTAAATATATTCCTTGTTTTCTTTGTAATCTCATAATTATATATTATCAGTATTATTTTCAGTGTTATTTGCTCTGATTTACATGCATACATTCTTGCATCTAAGACCCCATTAATGGCATCATTTTCTCTCATTGTGAACACAGTGTTTATTCTTTTAGTTTAGATTTCTTGGTATTAAACTCGCCAGTCTTTGTTGTGTGAAAAAGCTTTATCTTTAACTTTAGAAGATTTTGCTCACCTTTAAAATACACATATCTCTTCTCTTTGGCTGTGAGATGTATGTCTTGTTGCCTTTCAAAAGCACCATCAGTCTAACTGTGATTCGGTTTCATTTGTTTTCTGAGCGGGGTGTGCAGGGAGTACTGTGGTTTCGTTCTAACATGTTTAAACTTGTTTCTTTTTCATTTATTCTGCTTTGAAAACGTGTTTAATGGCTTAGTAGAAGCATGTGTTTTTTATAATATCTGGAAAATTCTCAACTGTTAGATTCTTTCTGGGTTTTTATTTTCTCAGAATCCAATTGCTCATATTGTGTGCCTCTTAATTCTGTTTTTCATAACTCATAATAACCCTTTGATATTTTCTAGCTCCTTGTACTTCATTTGGGGAAATTTCATTGAGTCTATGTTTTAGTTTATTCTCTTTTCAGTTATTTTTAATCTGTCTTCTCTTTTTTCCATTGAGTTTTTCCATTTAAAAATTTGTCTTTTCCTTAGTAAAAGGTTCATTTACTTTCTTATCTGTCTAGCTATTCCCAGTTAAGTCTTTTGTTCCTTGCTCACCTTTGTGCTTACGTCTATCTTTAAGTATAATTTTTTGTTAAGTCAGACTGCTTTTTACATGAGTTTGACATTATAAATACTGCTCACCTCTGAAGTGCACAGCGCACTGATTATATCACCCTGTCGCACACCTTTCTGCTTTCCTAACAGCCAGTGCTCTAGTCATTTGTTTTCTTTTCCCAGTGTTGTAGCACCCGTTACTAATTCTTGGTAATTCTAAAAGAATTAAACATTCTTCTTAGAAAGTATTTGTGAAATCCAAATCAGATCATGCCTCTGTTCTGCTTAGAATCCTCCCATGACACCCAGTTCCCTCAGTACGAAAGCCAGAGTCATCTCATCTCCATGGCCCAGACATCCCTCACAGTCTAGTTCCGTCACCTCCCCGATCTCATTGCTCTCAGTCTCACTCTGATCTAGCTACACTGGCCTTTCTCCTATTCCTCAAGCATGCTAGGGGCCTTCCAATCAGGACCTTTATATTTGCTGTTGTCACTACCTGGAACACCCTTCCTCCCAAATAATGTGATGACTTGATCAAGTATTTCCATTATGTTCAAATGTTACTTCCCTTTGAGAAGTATTTCCTAACCAACATATATAAAATGGCCCTATCACTCTCCACGTTGTGTCTTATCCTATTTTATGTCATATCCTCTACAAAACACTGATCACTACTTGATATATTTTATATTTATTTGTTGTAGTTGGTGTTTGTGTCTACCAAATAGACTGTAAGCTCCTCAAAGCAGAGATTTCTGGTGTGGTTTGCTGCTGTATCCCCAGTGTCAAGAACAGTGTATAATAATATTCAGTGAACAGTAAATAAAATATTTGTGGAATAAAATGAATGAATGGCTGGGTTTATTATTTAATATGAAACATATAAACAGAAATACTCAGAGAAGTGGGGTCAGCATAAAGGCCTTTCTTTATTGGCACACTAGGGACCATAAATGCCATTATTCACAGCGTGGTAGATAAAAAGACACATTGAGGACAACTCTTAGGTTATCTGGAGTAGCAAGTTCACAAATGGCAGGATCATACAAAACCCTGTGTTCTTTGTGACTGAGTCTACGCTATCTTCTCCTAAAAGCAGGGCTGGTTCGTTGTTAACCAACCTCAAACTTACATTGTTATCCGCTGTTACTTTGTGCAAACAAAGCCCGGCCCTCCCAACTAGGTAGCATCTTCCCTTCTCTTGCCTTGGGAGGAACTGTTTCTTGGTTCTCAGGTCAAGCAGCTCACTCCTATTAGACTTTATCAGTGGTACTTGAGAGGAAGGGGATAGTGCATAGTGTCTGGTACATAGTAAGTACCATTCTACAGGTAAACACTACAGAAGGCAATTTGTAGATTGGGAGGACTCCCCTTCCCTTCCCTATGTCAAGGTAGCAGCAGGCTCTGAAGTTGTAGTCATGACTTTTCTTCTGACCCCGTTGGGTACAAGGCTGACTCCAGTGTGTCTGCATGTGCATGACTCTTTGGATACTAATCCTGTTGTCTAACAGCCACCAACCTTTATCACACACACACACATGCACACACTTCTGTCACCACCAACTTTATCAAAATGCAAATATACACAGCCATGTGGCTTGCCTTTAGAGACCACCCTCTCCAGGCCAGTATCGGTTCAGCAGCCATCAGCACTGGTTTAACCATCCAATTAGATGAGCAGTTGTACAAAATGTCTGACTGTCTACTACATGTTAGGCCTCCTGCTCTACACTGACAACGCTGACATGGATAAGATATGACCCTAATTTCAGGTAGACAATATGGTAACAGTGATTAACACAGTTGAAGAATAATTGCTACAGAATACTCAGCCCAACTCTGGAGACCACGGAAGTTTCTTGGAAGAGGTGGCATATGGACTGAACCTTAAATGAGGAATAGGAACGTTCTAGTTGGTTGGTAAGGGGAAGAAGGGTGTAATTCAGGCAAAGGGCACATTGTGTGCAATGATAGAGAGCTAGGAAACAGTCCAATATGCCAGCCACCCCACTACATTTACCCTTCACCGGTTCTTTCTATGAGAGCACACTAGTACACTTTGAAACATACTAAAATTCACATACGAGAGTTGTCTCCTCTGACATGGCAATATATAGTTATTAAGAAGTTAATGACAAGTTTGCCTGACATGACTAACCATAGGTTTGTCTGTATCAGCCTCTAATTTAAGACCTTGGAGTTTATGTGACAGGCATCCTGTAGACCCACCCTGGGGCTGTGACAATCCTGGAGGTTACAGTCTCTCCCAGCTCCGTATGTGGAAGGGAATCTTTCTTGACTCCTGACAGTAGCGAAGAAATAGAAGTTCTTCAGAGAATGGAGTTGGCCTTTCCATCTTGTCCTCAGATACTAGGGTTCATATTCCCTTGAGGCATAAACCTTCATATCAATACTGGATAAGGCAGTCAAGTAGGAGGAAAAGGGTCCCAAGAACAGGCAAAAGAGTCAGAGACACCGCCATTCCCATTGTTAGGAGTCCCACAAAAACACCAAGCTAATAACATACATGCATGAGGACCTTGCTCAAATGCATATAGGCTCCATGATTGTTCCTTCAGTTTCTGAGTCCTTAAGAGCCCTGCTTAGTTGATTCTGTCGGATGTGTTCCTGTGGTGTCTTTGACCCCTCTGGCTCCTACAGTCCTTCCTCCCCCTCTTCTGTGGGATTCCCTGAGCTCTGCCTAATGACTGTCAGTGGGTCTCTGCATCTGCTCCCACCAGTTGCTGGCTGAAGCCTCTTGATGACTGCTGGGCTAGGAACCAATCTATGAGTATAGCAGAATATCATCAGGAATGATTTCATTGACTTTAGGGAGGGAACAGTCATGTTTGGTCCTATCCTAGGTCTCTGGACTAACCAACCTCTGGTTTCTGGCCATTGAGGCAATGCCAGGCATGGGCTCCCTCTCGTGGCATGGGCCTCAAGTTGGACCAGTTAATGGTTGGCCACCATTACCCCCGCATATCTTGTAGACAGGACAAATTGTAGATCAAAGGTTTTGTGGCTGGGTTGATGCCCTAGTCCTACCACTGAAAGCCTTCCCTGTTCCCTGGTTACAGAAGATGGCTGGTTCAGGCTCCTTAGCCTCCATTACTAGGAGTCTTCACTAGGGTCACCCTCATAGTGTCTAGAGAATTTCTACTGCAGTAAGTTTCCACACACACCCCACAATGTGCCCCAGTTCCAGTTGTCTCTGCCAGTACTCTCTCACTTCATCCTCCCACTTATGCCTGGTCCCTCTTATTCCCATCCCCACCTGCCCCCAGTCTACCTGCAAATCTGTTCTATGTCCCCTTCCCAGGGAGATCCATATACACCCCCTTGAGTCCTCCTTATTACTTAGCCAGAGGACAACTTTTGCTTTCAGGACTTAGTTCTTTCCTGTGGCCTCTGGGCGTTGAACTCAGGCTTGTGTGAGAGCTTTTACCTGATGAGCCATCTTACCAGCCCTATTATTTTTTATTTGCTTTGTGCTTCTGAGGATCAGACTGAGAAGCCCACACATGCTAGGCAAGCAAGTACTCTCTAACACTCCGCCACCTTCAACAGTCCGAAGCTGGACTTCCCAGGTACACAGTTAGTGTTGAGCACGTGCAGCTGCAGTGCTGGCCCACCCCCTGCAGTGCTGCAGCAGGACTGGGTGTAGAGGGGGCTTTGTCCACAGTAGTCCCCCGCAGCAAACTCCTAAGGAAGAAAGCTGATCGTAGGAAAACTACAAACAAAATCAGAGCAGCCTCTTCCTCACCAACCACAGTTACCCAAAAACCAACTTCTGTCCCACACACCAGTCCTGCTGGTGACTAGCTCGGCTCAGCCATGGATGTATTTCCCCAGACTCACCTTACACTCTGAATTTTCCTAGAAGTAGCTATCGTACAGTTTTAGGGAGCTGAACTTGATGATGAACCAGAGACTTGTCTATCCTCCAAAGGAAGCACGGGTGGTGCACGACTTGAATCCTAGCAGTTGAGAGGCAAAGGCAGGTAGATCTCTGTGAGTTCAAGGCCAGCGTCGTCTGCAGAGTGAGTTCCAGGACAGCCAGGACTGTTACACAGAAAAACCCTGTCTCCAAAAAAAAAAAAAAAAGAAAGAAAGAAAGAAAAAGAAACAAAGAAACAAAATGTTATTTATGGATATACAGAATTGATAAGTAAACTTTCATTCAAAGCTCCTGGTATTAACTGCTGAGCCAGCTCTCCAGCCCCAAGTTTTTTTTAAATAATTAAAATATTTTATCATTACAGTTGTATTGTGTGTGCACTCACGCTTGCACGTGGACGAAGGTCAGAGGAAAACCTGCAGGAATTGGTTCTGTCCTTCAACCATGTGAGTCCCTGGATTTGAATTCAGGTCCTCAGGTTTAATGGTAAGCAACTTTCTCCTCTGAGCCATCCCAGAAAACCTCAGTTTGGTTCCCACACACAGCTCAGGTGGCTCAGAACTACCTGTAACTCCAGCTCCAGGGGAGCTGAGGGCCTCTCCTGACCTCCACATACCTGCACATGCATTCATAAACCCACACGACACACACACATATACATAATTATAAAAAATTAAGTCACTGGGGTTGGTGGTGCACATCTTTAATCCCAATATTAGGGAAGCAGAGACAGGCAGATGTCTGAGTCCGAGGTCAGCCTAGTCTGCACAGCGAGTCCCCGGGCTATCCAGGGCTAAATAATGAGATTCTGTTTCAAACAAACAAGTAATAAAAGTAAAACAAAAGTTTTAAAAGTATATGAAAAACATGTAAAGAAGAAAGCAAAAATTCCCCATATTAGGAGACAGGAAGGACTGGATGCAGGTAATAGATATGAGTTACGTAAGAGGATCAAAAGTTAACTGTTTTCTAGTTCTAACTCGTCATGAATTTTTTTTAATTTGGTGATGGATAAGTGCATAAAAACATTTGATTTGATAGTGAAAGTATAAAATCCATTATGAAGTTCCACAGCTTTCCTTTCAAATGACTACTCTGCCTGTGTAGAACTTCCCTGAGTTCTACAGTCTTTGAATCTGGTTACTGTCAGAATGTAATCATATTATTATTATTATTATTAGCGACCTCTAAATAATAAAATTTAAACATTTTTAAAGATGCTCTGTGTAACCACATATACCGTCAGTGAAATGTAAATTAAGAGAACAATGACATACCACTAGATACCTACTGAAATAACTGAAATCCGAACTGCTTCCACCAAATGCTGAAGATGTGGAGCAACCAGAATTTAGGTCCTCTGTCGCTGGTAGGAATAGTAAAACAGCACCATCACTCTGGAAAAGTGCCCCCAAAAGAAACATACTCTTACTGTGACTATCTAGCAATTTCATTTCTTGATAATTAACTTGTGAGTTCAAAACTTATATCCACAGGAAAATCTGCACACAGATATTTATAGCAGTCTTATTCGCAATTGTTCAAACTCAGGCCTGATGGCATATACCTCTAATTCTAGCACTCAGGAGATGGAGAAAGAATTACAATTTTGAGGCCAACCTGGGATACGTAGCAAATGCTAAATCACCCCAGGTACTATGCAGGAGCAACGACACAAAAGTAAACAACTTTAAAGCCACGAAAGAATTCTTCACTAGGTAAGTAGATAAGGAAATTATGGCATATCCAGCCAAGAAACTAATAGGTTTTTGATTAAAAAAAGAAACAAGCTATTCAGTCATAAAGAGACATGGAGCAACTTTAAATGCATATTGCTAAGTGACATCAGTCTTAAGAGACTACATACTAAATTTTTTTTTAATTTTTTTATTTTTACATACAAAATTCTAAATGATGTTCTGGAAAAAAAACTATGAGGACAATAAAAAGATGAGAAAGTGAAAGGATTGGCCAAGGATTTGGTGGGAAGGAGAAAGAGATGGGTTGGTAGAGCACAGGACTTTTAGGGCAATGGAATTGTTCTGTATGATGCTAGAATGATGAAAATATTAATGTAAGTTTGTCAAAAACCATTGAATGAACTACACCAAGAGAAAATTCTTTTGGAGGTGGGGAGTGAGACAGGGTTTCTCTGTGTAGCCCTGGTTGTCCTGGAACTCTAGAGACCTTCCTGCCTCTGCCTCCCCAGTGCTGGGATTAGAGGTGTGCACCACCACTGCCTGGCAAGAGCAAACTCTTAATGCAAACTACGGACTTGGTTTATATGTCAGTGTAGATAACTGGATTTTAAGAATATGTGCCATTGTGAGATTGAGATAGTGGGAGAGATGGTGCCTCTGTGGGAACAGGAAGTGTATGGACACTCTGTACTTTGTAAAGCTTACCTCAATTGGCTGTGAACCCAAAACTGCTTTAGTTACTTATTCCTTTATTTGTTTTCAAACTTTTGTGTGAGGTTCTTGCTATGTATCTCTGACTGGCCCCACACTTATGGCTCTCATACTTTGGCCTCCTAAATTCTGGGATTACAGGTATGCACCACCACACTTAACACAATCCTGCTTTTAAAAAAAAATGTTGGTTCAGTCTCTGAGCCCCTATGAGCCTGGTTAGTTGATTCTGTGGTTTTCTTGTGGAGAGTCTCTGACTCTTTCGCCTATTTTGGAGACCCCCCTTTCTCCTACTAGGTTGCCTCATCCAGCCTTAATTTAAGGGGGTGGGGATGTCTCGTCTTATTGCAACTTGCTATGCTCTCTTTGCTATCCCTGGAAGACCTGCCCCTTTCTGAAGGGAAATGGAAGAGAAGTGGATCTGGGGAGAGGGGAGGTTAGGGGAGGGACTGGGAGGAAAGAGGGAGGGGAAACTGTAGTCAGGATGTATATGAGAGAAGAATTTTAAAAATTAGGCATCAGCGAGATGGCTTAGTGGGTAAAGGCTGACAAAATGAGTGCAATCCCCAGGACCTGTGTGGTAGAAGGTGAAAACCAACCCCTACAAGTTGTCCTCTGACTTCCGCATGCTCATTATGACATACATACCCACACACATGCACACAAAATAAAATGTAGCAATAAAGAATAAAATTTAAATTTGGCATAGTAGCTCATGCCTGTTGTAGTGATATTTCATTTGTGTTTTAATAAATAAAGCTTGCCTGAAGATCAGAAAGTAAAACAGCCACCCTGGTCAACCTTACAGACCAAGCAATGTTTTTTAATCCCAGTAGCCACACTAGTTTGACATAGAAACAGGGTGATAGTGGTGCACACCTTTAATCCCAGCCCTAGAGAGGAATATAAGACGGGAGGAGACAGCCCTCAGACAGTCTCATTCTGAGATTCCTGGAGGCAGGATCGCCATTTCAGACTGAGGTACAGGTAAGAGTCAGTGGCTGGCTGTTTTGCTTTTCTGAGCTTCAGGTTGAACCCCAATATCTGTCTCTGGGTTTTTAGTATTCGTGCTACAGCCTGTGATTTTAGCATAGGGCGGCTGAAGCTCAAAGATTGCCCAAGAATCTAAGGACAGTCCGAGCTAAACAATTAAGACCATCTCAACAAAGCCCAAACACTAAGATTTTAAAAGAAATGCATGCATTCATTTCAAGAAAAGGGGGATAGAATACAGGTAATATGAAAGGACAAGAGGGAATACTAGAACGGGGAGGGGTTAAATGGGAGGGTAGTGTAGAAGAGGGTTATAGGGAGGGGTTAATAACATCAAAGACATTTCAAAAAGCCATGCAGAGACCTGGTGCTTCCTAAAATATGCACATATGCATATGTAAGAGGGATTCAAATGGAGTCACCCTCTAAAAGGAGGACAGTGCCTCTTCCAACCTTCCTGTAACAGAGTTGCTGGTGATCCACTAAAGGATGGACAAAGGTTTAATCCTACCTCAACATGATGTGCCATGCTTTGTTGCCACCCATGGGAGGCCTGCCCTTTTCTGAACAGAAACAGGAGGAGTAGATTGAGATGGGGGGTAGAGGGGAGATGGGGGGGATAAAAATGTGGTCGGAATATAAAATAAACAAATTTCATTAATAATAATAATAATAAAGAATTGAACATGCAGAAAAGAAAAGAACAAGCTGAAGAGAAAGAGAAAGTACCAGCTTTTTTCCCTTTGGGGCCCTAAGGCTCAGAATATATTCTGACTTAGGTATTTCTCAGGCTCCTAGATCCTTCCTTTTCTGTTATTAGTCCTGTTTCGATGCCTGCCCCCATGCTTTCCTGACATGTCTCTTCACGGTGGCTTTCACGAACAAGAAGCTACCATCCAAGGAGCTTCACTTTCCATTTTCTCTTTCCTTATGTCCCTGTCCTTATGTTATCTATATTCCTCTGACTTCAGGTCCCACTCTCAGAGATGAGTACTGAATGCTGTCAGGGGAAAGAGGACCTTTCTAGCTGCTTCATGCTGAGAGGGGGCTAGCAATCCAAGAGAGAAGGAATTCTAATGAAGTGGGCTCCTGATACCCACCCAGGGGGGGCATGGAAAGATTCCAGTGGGAAGTGCCTCTTGGGCTTCATCTCCAGGACCATCTCTAGAAGCATCGGGGCTTATGGAGTGTAGAAGTGAGTGCTGGGGCCACTATAGAATTGCCCAGAGTAAGCCAATGATTTCCAGAAAAAATCCCACACAGCAATTGGTCCAAGGCTATCCTCAAGAGTGAGGAATACAGCATGTGCTCTTAGGCTCCTTGGCAGCTGTTGGAGTAGCTAGAGCCTCCTAACTTGATGACTCTCAATCTTCCAAATGCTGTGACACTTTACTACAGCTCCTCCAATGCCAGTGAAGGGATGGACTTGCTAGACAGGCAAGAACTAGCAAGCAAAGAAAACTTCCATTTTCCATGTTTTCTTTTGTCTTTGTTTTGTCTTTGTTTGTTTTGGGGAGGGTGGTTAATACCCCCAACCATAAAATGATTTTCATTGCTACTTCATAACTGTCATTTTGCTACTGTTATGAATCATAATGTAAATATCTAATACTCTTTTTTTAGAGATTTATTTATTTATTATGTATACAGTGTTCAGCCTCCATGTATGCCTGCAGACCAGAAGAGGGCACCAGATCTCATTACAGATGTTTGTGAGCCTTCATGGGTTGCTGGGAATTGAACTCAGGACCTCCGGAAG